AACACAGAATTGCCGTAGAAGTCGAATCGAGTTCTGTAAACAAGGGATTTTCCAAGGGAAAATTGTCGAACTCACTTTTGTGATTGAAACATCAATTCAAGCCAAACATTAATCAAATAGGAACAATATCACTCAAAGTATACCTAGACACAGGAGAACTATTGTCGTGAAAGTGTTGTACAATCGATTACGAATTTAGATTGCAGAGAGTTTGTTCTGAGCTCTAAAAGCACTCACGATAGAGCCCATTTTGCTTTATTCTAACATCAGTGGCACACCGTCTCTTCCTGGTATGGTGGGAAGGTAATTTTCGAATGTTGGGCACCAATCTTCCCATTGGACATCGTTGGTGAAATCCTGCGGTAGCGCTTGTTGCGACATCAACTTGGAGCCATACACCTATTGCTCGTGTGTTTTCATGCGTCTGAGCAGTTTGGCTGCATCAACGACAGGAAATGGTGTTGTGGTAGGGTCTCGTCTCTGCACCATTGGATGAATGCGCGGATGTTCTTTTTGATAGCTGGCATCAAGCGTATCTGTCCTTGCGCAATTGTCAATCCTGCGAGGGTCTTGAACTCTTCGTTTAGTTTGTCAATAGTGCTATCCATTGTTGTGGTGAAATCGTCCGAGAATATTTTGTAAGCAATTCTCTCGGCTTGTGTGCGTCCTTGGAAAAGGGTGACATCGTCAATGCCACAGATGACCATGTCGTCATGTACAGTGAAGAAAGGAGGAACGGCGGCCATGTTGCCTGTATCAATGTCATGCATCAAATTGTTAGTTCACATTTCTTTTATTCGTAACAGTTTTCATTGGTGTTGTTCAGCACAATTCGTAACAATTTTCGTTGGTGTTGTTCAGCACCATTCGTGGCAGTTTTCGTTGGTGTTGCTCAGCACCATTTGTGGCAGTTTTTGTTGGTGTTGCTCAGCACCATCATTTGTGACAGTTTTTGTTGGTGTTGCTCAGCACCGTTCATCATAATGTTCATAACATTTGATGTCATTTCGCATTAACGATTATGTTCATTGTTACGTTCATAATGTTTGATGGCATTGTATTTCATTTCATTACATTTCAATACGTTTCATTTTCGTTTCGTTCGTCGGATAACTTTTGGCAGTTATTGCTGGGTCTGATGAACCATAAATGTAATCGTTACATTATTACGAGAGTGTTGACTTACGAAGTAGTAGATGTTAAAGATAGTAATGTAGATCAAATCGTATTCTTAAAAAGAGTGTTGTTATCGTCGTTTCATTGACAGGCTTCCGCGAAGGCCGATCCCGTTCACTTAGGCGGAAAGTTATCAAACCAAAAATGATGCATGCAGCGTGAATTTTTCCACGCTGGACAGTTACTTCCGGGTACCCCCCTTGAGCTGCATCCATTTTGGCTCAAGCTGGACGATTGTCCATGCACGGTGCATTTTGAAATCGAACGATTTTGATTGGCCAATTCTCAATAATGGTTTCAAAGACCTCAACTCACAATTCACATCAAAATAAGAAAAGACTTCATAGCACTTGATCTTCTGCTCTTTTCACTAGTTTATCATGACTAATGTCGTGTCAATTTTCGCACTAGACTCTGATAGCGAGGAAGATGATAACCTTCATCACAACATTGGTTTGAACAAACAAAAAAGTAGAGCCAAAGGATTGCCACCCAGTGGCCAAAATACTGCCGCCAAATTAGTCGGTAGAAGAGTTTGGGCCAAAGTTGCAGTATCACATTCGAATGGCTTTTGCAGCATCCGAAACTGCAAACATGATTCTCTCCATCCGAATCATGCTTGCATTCAATGTAAATGCGGAGTCCACAATTTGTGTGTACAGGAAAATATGTTGATGTCAATTAGCAAGGAAGACGGTCACTGGTACTGTTCCAAGGAATGCGGCGGAAGCGACGTTCTGGCAACACACGATGTGGGAGTTCGACAAGTAGCAACACCAACACCAACACCAACACCAAGAAGTACTGAGGGAGCTAAAATTCAAGAAGAGAATTTACTAGCAGCCGAATTCGAAGACTGTGTAGTTGATCTTGCTTGCCCTCCTCAGGTAGGCTTCGAACAGCAATTCGTCGGGAATATGAATCTTATGACATTGATGAGTCTGAGCTTGAGGGATCGGGTGACATGATGTGCGGCAGGTACGACGCTCAGCTATCAGAATTCGTCGTTGGTTATGATGCCATGCAATTCAACATAACTGTACCGGTACTTACTATGCCAAAATAAAATTATAGTACGAAAGTAATTGATGTACGACCAATACGACTACCATGTGCATGCACGATTTTTCCGGTTTTGTGCTATCGACTTTAAACACGCGTGCAGGGTGCAGCAAAAAAATGAAATGCACTGCACGCTGCACGCAAAACGTGGTTCGATCAAATAAAGGTGACTGTGCTATTGAATATGAGATCGATCATGTTGTCGTGCAAGTGTACAATCGCTAGAGTCCGTAAGTAGTAAGGACAAATCGGCCTCCAGGGAAGCACATCGATCTGACGATGGTAACACTCTTTTTAAGAATACAATTGATTTACACTATCATCATTTATACATACTACTTCGTAAGTCAAATACATTGTAATACAGTAACAATTACATTTATATGGTTTATCAGATCCAACAATAACTGTCAAAAGTTATCCGACGAACGAAAGGAAAATGAAATGTATTGAAACGTCTTGACATGTAATGCCATCAAACGTTATGAACGTATTGATGAACATAATTGTAAATGCGAAATAACATCAAATGTTGTGAACATTATGATGAATGGTGCTCAGCAAGACCAACGAAAACTGTTATGAATGAATGGTGCTGAACAACATCAATGAAAACTGTTACAAAGCGCTGAGCAACACCAACGAAAACTGTTACGAATCATGCTGAACACCACCAACAGTTACGAAGTGCTGAACATCACCAACGAAAACTGTTACGAATCGTGCTGAACATCACCAACAAAAACTGTTATGAAAGGTGCTGAGCAACACCAACGAAAACTGTCATGAATTGTGCTGAACATCACCAACAAAAACTGTTATTAATGAAAGAAATATGCGAACGAACAATATGTACGAAGTGTGATATTGATGTAGGCACCATGGCCACCATTACTCCTCTTTTCACTGCACACGACAACAAGGTCATCAAGTGCAACACCAACAAAAACTACAGGTGTTGCAACACAAATGGATCAATGAAAAAAGGATGACATTGTTGATGCAAGAAGCTGAGAGAATCGCTTATGAAATATTCCCTTCCTACACCGCTCACTCAATGGAGAAACATTTCCCATGGACGACATCAAAGTGTTAGTCCTCCTGAGAAAGTTTATTGTGGGGAATACCAAAGCCAAGCGACACTTGAAGTAAACACAAGCCATTGACATCGAAGGCAACGGAAGGGAAGCATTCATCGCACTAAGCACCTACTACGAAGGTGACGGACCCCTAGCCCACAAAGATAATACAACACACCATCAGCGAAAAGACTACAAGAATATGGTACAATGACCTGGTCCATATTTGAACATATGGCTGCTCACGAAATCATACGCAGCATACGACAAATATGAGGGGAGAGAAGTCCATTCAGAGGCGAGAGAAGTCCATTCAGGCGCGATGACAATATGCAATGAAACTAGAGACCAAGGTTACCGCCTCATTCCTACAACTGAACAACGCAGTGATTGATACAGAAATTGGCAAACAGATGATGGTAATGACAGTCACAACGGCATTACGAGTCTACCGAACTGCAGTAAGAGAAAAGTTCCCTCAAGGAATTAGCAACGCAACCGATAGGGGACAACACTTGGGCAAAGCTAGCTGAAGCAGCATGAGCACCAATATGAACAACTGGATGAGCAATATGAATAGCAGCATGAGCAATATGAACAACAATATGCAATTGCCACAAAAGTCAGCTTATGCACAATCAACACAACAAA